TCGATCAAATCAAACTGTATTACCTCCTACTAGGGCCCCTGTCCGCCCACCACGCCGGCGAAACCAGGAACTTGACCCATTTACGCGTACTAAGCTCGTTGAGCTAAAGACAGTTGCTAAATGGTCTTACGGTCGAATCCACAGGGAATATCCAACTATTACGCTATCTACTATTAAATCCACGATTCTTAACGCTTCGAAGCGTGTGGATAATCACTCATTACCACGCTCTGGGCGTCCTCGGAAGCTTGATGAAACCGATATCAAGAAGATTGGTGATATTGATCGAGGAGAATCCACGCATTTTAATCGAGGATCTTCTTGATGGTTTCTCAAATAAGGTTAAAAGGACCTCAATCTGGCGCCTAATGCATGAACAAGGCCGCCGAAAGTGGCTCGTTCTTGACCGACCGGGTTTAACCCCTGAGCATGCTGCTCCACGTCTTCGCTGGGCACTTGAATACCAGCACTTTTCACCCGAAGTTTGGGCTCGAGTCTTCTGGTCTGACGAGTGTACGGTTGAATGATGTATTGGTGAGCGTCGCGAGTATACTTTCACGCCTCGGAGTAAGCAAATTCCTGAGCGTGACGTTCGTGGACTCCCTACTAAGGGAAAACAGACTAAACAGATGTTTTGGGCTGCTTTCTCAGGCGCTTCACGGCGTACTGGTCTTATCCCTTTATTTGGTAATCCTACTCGAGGCCGCACTGGTGTCGATAGTATCGTGATTCGCGATTTATACCGGCGTATACTACCAACTTTGATCGATCATCGCGATGGTATATTCCAGCAGGATAACGCCTCAACACATACTGCAATAAGTGTGCGCGAGGCTCTACGTGATATGGGTTTACTGTGATGGATTGGCCTGCGAAATCGCCTGATCTAAAACCTATTGAGAATCTATGGACTTTACTTAAGGACAAGATCTATAAGATTTGCCCGGAGCTTAAAACCATGTGCAATAACGATACTACGCATGCGATTCTAATCGAGAAGACCCGGGAAGCGTGGAATATTTTAGATTTAGATATTCTTGTGCACCTTTCAGCGACTATGCCACACAGAGTACAGGCAATTATTGATGCAGAGGGGTGGTACACTAAATACCCTGTGAATATAGGCGATTTTGGCAATTATTTGCGAGGTTTCTTGAAGCTGGCAGAAAAGTCTTGGCGCGGCCGACGACTTATGAAATACCACTGTACCCTACATCCCATATAACGAAGGACCCCCCTGGTGGTTCTAACAGTAATCAATGGTTGTTGAGCTATACGAGAATAAAAATAGCAGTTAATATGGTGTTCTGGGGTGCGCCGCTCGCTTGGGAAATACGCTACGTAAGCTTAGATAGTGCCTGGAGGGAGTTGGGTGATTTATTATCGCGAAATAATCCCTCGAAATAATCCCTCGAAATAATCCCTCGACCACAAAGGGAATAAGGGGGTCTTCGCACTAATACCTGGTGAAGCAGCCACTATGCGTACTATATTAGGGTGTTCGTGTTCGTGGCAAGGTAGCGAAGAGGGGGGTACTGTTGCTATCTATCTATCTGCCCACCCGCGTTCCTTCTTAATGGCCTGCATTATCACTCTTCTGCCCTGGACATGATTGAAAAAGAGAACCCTCATTTCGATTTGTTCAAACCCCCATTACAACCATGCTTCTCTAGCCAGAGTCTGTCCCGAAGCCTCGCAGGGATCCCCCGCCCGTCGTCACCCAACTCTGCCTGAATTTGCCCTGTTTTCCTACAAAATCTGCTGAGTAATTTTTGTTAGTTAACTAACTAACTAGTTAGTTTGGTCTAAACATCGTATTATCCCGTGCTGCATGCAGTTGTACTGTTGCTATCTATCTATCTGCCCACCCGCGTTCCTTCTTAATGGCCTGCATTATCACTCTTCTGCCCTGGACATGATTGAAAAAGAGAACCCTCATTTCAATTTGTTCAAACCCCCATTGGAACCATGCTTCTCCAGCCAGAGTCTGTCCCGAAGCCTCGCAGGGATCCCCCGCCCGAGTTCAAGTTCCACTCGTCGTGCGATACGTGCCTCAAGGCCAAGATCAAGTGTAGCCAAGCCAAACCGTCATGCGCTCGGTGCCTCCAGCAAGATCGCCGGTGTGTATATAGTCCATACCGCAAGATTGGCCGACCCTCCACCAAGAATCTACTTCCCCCGGACCAGCTGCAGCAACGGACGGCAGGGGGGACGGCCCGGAAGGGTAGAAGACCCCACCCACGACAAATTTCCCTCCCATCGCTCGGCGTTGAGACCAGATCCTGGGTAGACAATCTCCTCCATTCAACGAACCCGGTCTTGCATGCTGAGGAGTCAGTCTTGGTACCACACCAGAGCTGGTCCAATCCAGAGCTAACGGCCAACTTCAACCGTTTGGACTATGGGTTAGAAGGGGCCGACTGGCCCGGCTTGGAGGGGCTTTTTGATGCACCCGCGCCAATACTGCCCCCGGCAAACCATGAGTTAGCCTTTGCAGGCTCCCAGATGGACCAGGTAGATCCTGACCCCGACCAGGATGATCTCGCCGGGTACCTGAGCCCTTCGTCGTTAAGTAGCCGTGCATCCCCTATCACGCCGCTTCCCACTCCTCAGACTGAACGTGGATTGTTCGGAATCCGCTCAGAAGTTCCCTTTGCTGCGGGAAACTCTCTCGGGACCGGACCCGTGCTGCCCAAACCCCTGAATGCCTTCACGGCCTTCTCTTCTTCTTCCTCATCTGCCTCCTCCCCAGTCACCGAGGCCCGTGGGTTCAATCTATTCCTTGCATCCAGCGCCCGATGCACGTTTCAATGTTACCCAGACCTGATCAACCTACTTAACGACATTAATGAATTTCAACGAAAAAACTCGGGCATCCCCCTTGACGTGCTTCTCAACCTTGACAAGCGAGTGCGCAAGGTACGCGAAACGGTCTTGCGCTGCCCATGCTGTCTAGTGAGTTCCGGGGCGGCCCTGACGCTGATGTTGATTACCATGGTGAGCATCAACCTCCTCGGTTTGTTTGAGCGGAGCTGTGGATCCACCGATGGCGATTCGGGGAGCAGCATGAGCCGAGAAGAGTTGAGAGTGGTCTCCAGCATCGCCCTGGATGACAGAAGCCCCGTCGATCGAGGCAGGTCGCGCAACCCTCTACCGTACACGACAGGTCATCTGACCGTGGGGAACATCCAGCTGGATGAGACGGTGAAGTTGGCCTTTTCACGACGACTGGTTCGCCTGTACTTAGAGCGACAGCTGGGGGTGGTGCAGCAATTGAGCCAGTTGCTGGGCAGAGCAGAGGGGGACGCTGCGAGTGTCAAAGTCACGCAAGAGTTACTAAGAGATCAGTTGCGAAGATTAGAGCATTTCATCGGGTTTATTACTCTCACTGACTAGATTTATTTCTCTCTCTGTCTCCTGTCTTTCTTTTCCTGTACTATTCATGTATTAGGCTGTTTTAGAATGTGGATGGATCGCTTCCGAACCGTTATTCCACTAGACGACCGCTGAAAGCAAGTAGAAATCACTTCATTCTATACACGATATGAGACCTAGCTTTCTAAGGTATAGAGAATAGCCGACGTATTTTCCAACAGCCGCCTGACTTGCACAAGTATGGTCAGCAATCGCGCGTCTACTTTTCTAATCTCCGCGTTCTCCCGACCCCCCATCTCTTGCAGGACGGTGACCAGATTGCGGAGAGTCCGGCAAATAATATCAAGAGCCAAATACTGGCTCTGCTGCTCGTCCATTTCATATTGGCCCAATGCCATTTTTGATGGTCGACAGACAACGGCGGCTGGGCTGCGTTGTTCTTGTAGGGATCGATGTGTACCAAAATCCAGCAAATCTGATTCAAGAACCCGATCATCTAGCGAAGAGGGCAAGTTTCGCTGACTAGTTCTGTGAAAAGTCGGTGGTGTGGGCAGAGGAGGTGGCGAGTTTGTAGCATACGTAGTTATGGCCCTTTCAAGGAAGGTGACCAGCCTCCCATAGATGTGAATGAAGGTGTCATGTGCTTCCCCTGCCGATGTTCGGTTGTGTAGCTGGCATTTGTGCGACTGCTGGGAGAACTGAATGGTTTGTGCACTCACAGCGATGATCACATCAAGAGTGATATCGACCATGCTTTCGATGCGCTCCCAGGCGCGAGCCACCGCTGCAACACATAGACATTGGGAGGTTGGAGCAGCCATGATTTCAGGTTCGGATGCCTTGAGGGCATTGCGCGGGGTGTCAGCAAAAAAGGTGCGCGAGCTTCCCTCGTGGTCTGAAAAAAAGTTCATTTGCTGCATAACGCCTCTCGGGGCCTTCCGCAATCGTCTTATGGTGTCATCCTCTTGCATGCATGCATCAGCAGGATTTGAACGCCAATCTTCAGCCTCTTTAGCGGCCCTGCATTATTTTGATTGCTAGCCTTGAAGGATTGTGACGTCCCGAGGTCGTTTCTGCATTGTTGTTGCATCCTACGGAGTACACGTTGCTGACATTGAAATACCCCTCTTTTATACCGCCTACTATTGGTGGCCTGAATGGATGGTTGGTTTGAGTGGCGTGGGGAAAACTTTAAAAAAATGAAAATAGCCCAAATAAAACCATGAAGAAAATAATCAAATGAGTAAATAAATAAAGTGAGAAAAAGGAGCCGATTAGCCAGTCTAGTCGAAATTATGTCCCCGGAAGGATTCGATACCCTGGTGAACTTCGACTTCAGCGACAATGTGATGCAATGTGACTGGTGGATGGCGTGTACTAATCTGTTTCTAAATATCGGCTTCCATTCAACCACCACGGATTGTGAGTTATGGGGCCGATTGGAGGTATGGTGATGGTGATGATGAAGGGGCTCGGTTTCCAGCCTGCTATCTCTATGCAAGCATTTATTATCGGATCGATGTTTCCCTCAAATCATCCTACGAGGGTGTCTCAAAGGCTTCGAATTTTGAAATAGTCCTTATCTGAAAAAAGCTCCTACATTCACGCTTCCACGCTAGCCAAAGATGGAACGGTCCTTTACCGTCGAGTGTCCTCCGTTCGAGGTAGAGATCTCCCATTGGGATCGTATTCTCCCACCAACGCATTCGAAGCGAATCCTGTGCTTTTCGCTCCCAGATGCTACGGACAAGCAACAGGTGGTGGATTACCTGCATATTGCATTCCATCACACGGTCCAGCGGCTTCCCTTGTTGGCAGGATCTGTAGTCCCCTTCTCATCGCATCAAGGAGGACGCCCATGGCTCCGCAATATCATCCCCGAAGGCGGCGCCCAGCTCATTGTAAAGGACCTGTCAGAAGAGCTCAGTTTTTCAGATCTCGCCAAGGCCAACTTCTCGCAACACCTGTTGAACACTGAGCAGCTGTGCCCGCTCCCAGAGGTCGGGTACTTCAAAGAGGAGCGAGTGGATGTATGCCGCTTCCAGGCCAACTTCATTGAAGGTGGCTTGCTGCTCGTTGTATCTATCATTCACAACGCGGCAGATGGTCGGGGGGTGACTGAAGTGATCAAGACTTTCGCCAACGAACTCAGCAAGGCACAGTCAGGCGAGACGCATTATCCACTGGAACCAAGACCCGATGTATATCGCTCAGATCGCACAAAGCTAGTATCCGGTCATGGGGTACCTGGATCCATCGAAAATCATGCGGCATGGACTTCGGATCCGGCCAACGCACATGCCCAAATCCACAACGTGGAGAACTCGTGCCGGACCTTCTGCATCAGCGTCAAGGCTCTGACCGATCTCAAGGACTGTCTCTCTGCCACTGTTAGCGGTCCTGATGAATGGTTTTCCACCAACGATGCCATTTCTGCCTTTATCTGGCGCAGCATCATGCTAGCCCGCCACCGGGCCGGAATCTTGAACGGCGATGCAGAAACATATGTAGCACAGCCTGTGGATTGCCGTGCACACCTCAAGATTCCCATGCCGTACTTTGGAAATGTCATTTACATGACCAAGTCATCAGTGCCGTTGTCTGACCTGGCAGACTTTGAGAGCGGGCTAGGCGCCGCTGCTCGAGCTCTGCGCGCTGATATCAAGGCTGTGACGGCCGAGAAATTCGGCGACTTAGTAGGATATGCGGAACGAACGGCGCTTGACACTCACACCCGCTTGAATATTCTGGAGGCTATGTCTACATCGGGCATTATTCTGACCAGTCTGTTCAAGATGGACCTTCACGGCATGAACTTCGGCCCTGTCTTTGGTGACGGTCATATTAAAGCTGTTCGTTTACCGGCCAGAGGAACCCAGGCTGGTGCTGTTATTGTGCTGCCCCGGGTCCCGGATGGGAGTTGTGAGTTCATGGTGACTGAGCAAGAGAGCACGATCAAGTGTCTCCTGGAGGACAAGTACTTTAGTCGCTTCACAAATGACGCGGATACCATTGGAGCCCCTCATGAGGAGGTTGTCGCTCCCTTGCCGCCGCCTCCAATAACTTCAGGAGAAGAAGATGTGGTCTCCATCGAGAACACTTCTCCGGTCATCACCGTCAAGTCAGCTCCAGATATTGAGCCTGTCACTATTGGAGTCAGCGCTGCAGAGGTGGAACCCATCACCATAAAGACAAGTTCAGATGTTGAACCTGTCACCATTGATATCACTACTACTGATGTTCATCCTGTCGGCACTGAGACTACCTCTCCAGTGGACGAACGCATCACCATCAAGACTCCTTCAGTTGAACCTGTCACCGTCGCGGTCCCTACTACCGAGGTTGAATCTATTACCACGGAGTCCACCGCTTCCGAGGTACAGTCCCTCACAACTATCCTTAAAGACTGGCATCTTGTCCCCACGGGTGACGTAACGACGCCCTCGACATTGATCTCGAACCGGGTTGACGCGCCCCATGTTGGTACCATCAAGATTATCCAATTGAACCGACCTGCGGCGAAGAACGCCCTCTCAGTGCAAATGGTGCGCGAATTGAGTCGCGAGATTGAAGAGATCCATCACGAGCGCCACACGGGCGGCACACGCGCCTTGATTATTGCGAGTGCAGTGGACGGAATCTTCTGCGCCGGAGCGGACCTGAGAGAACGCAAAAATATGAGCTTGACAGAGACACAAGCCTTTTTGACTAGCCTCCGGGGCTTGTTCTCACGCCTAGCTTCCCTGCCTATCCCCACTATTGCCTGCATTTCGGGCCGGGCGCTCGGGGGTGGACTGGAGCTTGCGCTATGCTGCCATCTGCGTGTCTTCTCCTCTGACGCGGTGGTTGCATTACCTGAGACTCGGCTAGCTATCATCCCCGGTGCTGGTGGCACCTACCGCCTCCCCAATATTGTGGGCATGTCGAATGCTCTGGATATGATCTTGACGGGCCGCGGGGTGCCAGCAGATGAGGCTGCGACGATGGGACTGTGCAACCGTCTTGTTAGAGCAGACCTCCGGGAGGATACGCCAGCGTTGTCGAAGCGAGCCTTGGTTTCCAGTATCCAATTGGCTGAACAGATTGCCGATGCGGGACCCATTGCTATTCGGGCTGCAATTACCGCGCTTTCGTACAGCTGTGAGGCGGTTGAGAACGCTGCCTACGAGTCTGTTCTGAAGACGAAGGATCGAGAGGCTGCCCTTGACGCGTTCAGTGAAAAGCGCAAGCCTATCCTGATTGGGGAGTGAGACTATTCTTTGAAAGTCTCTTAGACTGGCGGCAATATTTGGTCTTCTTTGTGTGCTTGTTTGATTAGGGAGAGTGGAAATCAAGGCATTTGCTTTGAACGTTCCCATACTGGAGCAGGGTTATTTCCACATAGAAGCATGGAACCTTCGTGCACATCTCATTCTCTGGGTGTAGCCCAATTGATCTTTCTGTGGAACCTCTGCGAGAGGTATGCCTCGCTATAGATGCTACAAGCCCGCGTGGGCCACTGATTTAATCTTCAAGGGCGGTCGAATAAAGTCACATTCGTCTTGCTAAGTGGGAATAAGTTCTATGTTGACCATCGTGAGCAGTAAATTGGTATCTTATTGAATGTTACTATGATAGATCAACTCTAGAGTTGCATTCAAGAACTACAGGATGAGATGGGCTACGGCAACCTGATATCTCGATGTTACATTGCTAGATACATAGAATCTGGAGTCTTTAATGTGCCACGAACGTGTGCTCCCCCAAGGCTCCTTGCAGGTATCGATGCCAGTCTCGATCATTTCTTTTCAATACCGTAGCTCGCCGTCAGGCGCGATCGCACATGTTCTTCAATGGTAGGCGCATCAATTTCCTCATTTTCGTCCTGCTCGGAGCTTCCGAGAGGTTTCACCTTGTAGTCCAGGTTGCCATCGTAGAAGAACACCACACTGTACCGGTCATCGCTCTTTCTATTCCATACGCGGTGCACGCTGCTCTTGTACTCCCCTTCTGTCATGGTGGAAAGGATGTCGGCCACGTTAACAATGTACACGTCCTCTTGAGGGGGGACTCCGTGCCACTCGTCTGTCACGCTGTCTTGAACTTCAAGACCGGGACACTCGTCCTGCAATAGGAGTGTGAAGGTACCAAAATCAGTGTGCTCACCAGCACCTAGCTGGAGCTTCTTTCCAACCTCTTTCTCCAAGCCCCGCGGATAATGGAGAAGCCGAAGCAGAGACATGGGGTCATTAGTCTCAAGTTTGTCGAATACACGGGGTCCATAGGGCAGTGTTGCTGCGAGAAGCGACAGAACCACATGAGATAGGCGCTGCATCTCCGCAAAATACTCTTCTAGAACGGCCTGAAAATCCTCGGGCGCGAGCTGCTCGGGTTTTGGCCAGACGTTGGGGCCTTGCAGGAAGCGGCCGTTCACCACATGGGGATGGTCAGGAGGCAGATCGGTTGAGGTGAAGAAGCCTTCTTTGTGGTCTCGCAGCGCATCGCTCTCCTGAACGGCTCCAAACTCGAGCTCATATGATTGAGTCTCCATCACATCGTAGCCCCGGAATCCAACGGTCTTCCGGCTGTCAAGCTCAAGCTTGTTCTTCAGTGGAAGGGCGAAGAATCGAGCGGAAGCCTCAAAGACTGATTTTTGCAGTCTGAGAGGGACCTTGTGGCCCTTGATTTGGAAGAAGCCAGTTGACTTGCATGCTGTGCGCACCGAGTCGATGACTTCCTGGGCGGCAGCCCCCTGAGGATCTTCCAGGAAAGGGGTGATATCCACCAGTGGAAGGTAGAACGATGGCTTGGTCAGAGCAGGCATTTTCTCTCACAGATGATAAACCGACTTCGGTCCTCAAGGTGGCTTTAATTTTGATTCGGAATGTCTAAAATGGGCACAGATGTTGTGGAATAGAATTATTTCGATACGGCAGCATGTCTTTCTCCCTGTTTATTGCGAATCTAGCCAAGGACTCTTGGACGGAAAAGAGTACACCGGCAATTGGATGACCCAACCAGGCCATTTTTTGATTGCATGGAAGATGGGAGAGGGGTGTAAGCGCTATGCCCATGTGGTAGCCATGTGGTGGGAGCGCTAGGATCCTGCATGCATGCCGGCTCGGCTGCTTTTGCTGCAGGACAAAGTCGCCGGATATGCAAACAAGGCCACGTGCAATGTCCTTTGATTGAGATGTTTTTTGTGATAGCAATCGAGTCAAACGAAAGACCCTTTTTTCTATTTAATTTAATTTAATTTTTTTTTGGGAAATCTAGCCCATGTTATCAGCTGCCGATCATAAACGGGCTAGTATACTCAATAGAAATAAACGATCAGGAACGCACTAGACTTAACATAAGATTATCTCGTATTGCTCGATCGTGTTTCCGCTATCCTGAGCATTTTGACTCTGAAGACATCGACTTAATCTTAAAGCTACCACCGAATTGCGCACGTTGTGCGTAACGGAGGTCCTTAGATTCAACTTTCCTTCATCCTCTGCTATCTTGAGGGAAAGTATTGCGCAGAATGAACACAACACGCGCTCTCGACGATTCAACCATCCATCTGCCACGGATACTATGTCTTCATGGTGGTGGCACCAATGCGCGAATTTTCCGGGCTCAATGCCGAGGACTTATTGCTCAACTGAAGTCGGAATATCGTCTTGTATTCGCCCAAGCACCATTTGCGTCGCAGGCTGGATCAGACGTTCTATCAGTTTACAGTCAATGGGGTCCTTTCCGGCGGTGGCTTCGATGGCGACCAGAGCATCCAGTGATCCCACCAGAAGATGTGGTCCAAGGGATTGATACGTGGCTAAAAAAAACAATGCGTCAAGATGATCTCGCTGGAGCTACTGGCGAGTGGATTGCCCTCTTGGGCTTCAGCCAGGGCGCCAAAGTCTCTGCCAGCCTCCTCTACCGACAACAAAGCTGGGAAGAGCTCTTCGGCACCCGCCCGGCGGGAATCAACTTTCGTTTCGGGATTCTCCTGGCAGGGCAGGCACCTTTCATATCAATGGATCCCGACCTGACATTGAATCCGCCACTACCGGACGCCTCGCAAATCACCGATCTCAGACACCGTGAGCGAGAATTATTTTATGGCAAGGGTCATGTATTGCGGATTCCTACGCTCCATGTCCATGGATTGCGAGACAAGGGACTGGATCATCACCGAAAACTGTTTGAGGATTTTTGCACTCCACAAAGCCGGAGGTTGATAGAATGGGATGGGGATCATCGGGTACCTCTCAAGCTAAAGGATGTATCACTTGTCGTGCATCAGATCCGCGAGCTTGCAAAGGAGACGGGCGTTGCTTAGTATCATATTTGTCTGGTGTTTTAGAGGTCCAAGTTGTTACCAGATAATAGATTTTGTGCTCTTTACTTCCTGCTAGTTTGTATAAATTCTATACCCGGGCAGGTGAATGACCAGTGTCGATCCCGTGTATCTCACTTTTGATTGGCTGTGGCCCATGGGATCACTCCTTAGGCTTGACACGCGACTTGCCATTTCTCGTGTATTGGTTTCGTCAACAAACAATATGTTAACTAATAGGTCGTCGATAGCAACCTGACTAACTGATGGACTGAGCCCAGTCCTGTTTCATGACGAACTGGAGCCTGAAGTTCGGGCCAAGTACCAGCCACTGAATAATAATAACTCTGCCAGCCCCCACTTGAGAATGCGTATCCACCACATCCAAGGTTCGCAGGTCACCGTTGGAGCCGTCCAATTTCAATCGTATATGAAATTGACCGACGCTAAAACACAGCCTGGCGGTGGGCGACAGCAACGGATCTTAACTGGCTGCAGGTACTCCGTACAATTGTTCTAATTACATCAGCCTCGTGAGGGTGGGGCGTGGGGGGGGGGGGGGGGGGCTAGCTAGTGACTGTCACGCTCGGATTCTTTTGCTCGGGGCCTTTATTCAGCCCCGCCCCTGGGCCTAGCCTAGGACGATTTAGGATGCTGAAGTTGATTTTCAAATGCAACTCAATCGGCAGACAAAGCTCCATCGCAGCGATGCATACAATAATGCGGTGGGGCTTAGTACTTCTTATTTTCATGCAGGACATTCCTACCCACGTGGCATCCAAAAATGCCCGACTGTGGATAGATTACACAGGTATGCTTCAAGAGGAAGTTGTCAATAAGGATGGCTCAATAGCCCGACTTAGCCTGTATCAACCCATGAATTGATTTCCATATTCCATCGACTGAGCACCTGACCTTCAACCGTTCGTTTCTGAGTGGTAAACAAGTCAACTTCAACGTGACTTGCAACATGACGTCGCAGCCTGGCCCCCGGATGGGCCCCAAGGTGTTTTTGTTCGGACCTCAGGCATTGGGTTTTGATACCAAGCTCTTTGCAATGCTCCACAGCCATTTATACGGCCGCTGGGCATTGGATGCCTTATCTGACCTGCCCGATGCTTGGGAGAGTCTCGTCAAGCAGGTGCCAAAACTGCAACATGTGGAGGGTGAACGACTATTGCGAGAGTTGCATCGGGCCTTGCAGACGGGAAGCCTGCCAGACTCTCTGTTTCCCCTACCCAATATCCTGCTCTCGCCCCTGGTGGTAATTGTTCAATTGACCCAGTATCTCGCCTTTGTGAGGTCTGCGTTTCCGGGTCTTGCGGATACCGACGAGCTACCCCCATCCGCTATGGAGGCTTCGGAGAGCCTCGGGCTATGTACCGGTATCCTAAGCGCCTTTGCTGTGAGCTGTGCCTCCAGCCTAGCCAAGGCTCAGCAATATGGTGCCGTGGCAGTGCGATTATCGATACTTGTTGGTGCGCTCGTGGACGCAGAGGAGGCATCACCGGACACAGGAGGGACCGCCATGTCCTTCTCAATGTCATGGAATGCATTGGAGTCTCGCGCCAGCGTGGATGAAGTGTTGGCAAAATTCCCAGAGGTAAATCAAGCCCAGACCACTTGACATGGAACTACTGATTAACGAGACGTGAAAAGGCGTACATCTCTGTTTTCGTTGATGAAAAGAGGGCCACAGTGACTGCCCCCAAGGAAGCAGCTCCTGCTCTGGTTGCACAACTCAAGTTATCTGGTGCGCATATTACTGAAGTTGCACTTTCTGGTCGGTTCCACTGGCCAAAACATAGTGAAGATGCAAAGCAACTCATCGCCCTTTGCGACCGTAACCCCTGGTTTCAGTTCCCCGATGCATCTGAGATGGTGCTGCCAAGCAGGCTGAGCACTGGAGGCCGTCTGCATGAGATTGCATTGCAAGAGATTTTGCTC